CCACTGTTTGGTTCTGGGTGTCTGTAGCTGTCTGGGTCAGCTGCTTGGTGGAGCTTATTAGAAAACAACATACTCCTGTCACCTTTAAAAGTCTAATTTTCTGTATTTTCTGTCAAAGGAGGACATGATCTAACATTTAGGATGCTTAGCATCCCATTAGCTTGGTTTTTGTCCATTATGAGATTATCCTTTTTTTCCTGTGATACTGAAAGCTCTGTCATTTCTATGTAATCTTCAACTTTGGTGTTTATTTTTTTTATAAGATATATATGCACACGTTTTTAAAAGTGATGAATTTTTCTCTCCTCGGCTAGCTCCCAAATGAATGAAACAGAGAATGTAAGATTTATTTGATATGCTTTACAACACAGTTACTGGCCCATTAATAATTGATTCTAATCCTATAAGGTAATCTGGCTAGCTCCCAGGCGAAGTCCCCATGATCCTTGCATTTTAGTACTGGTCTGGCTCTTTGAGCCCCACATGTTTCCATGATGTCTCTCTGGACCCCTTCCTTATCTTATAACAAATCCCCCCTCTCTCTGCCTCCTTCCCTATTTCCCTCTCTTTCTCCCTCTCCCCTTTCTCTCTCTCTCTCTCTCTCTGTCTCTCTCTCTCTCTCTCTCTGCTTCTTCTTTTTTTCTTCTCTCTTTCTTCTTCCTCTTCTTCCTCCCTTTCCCCTGCCCCTGTTTCTCCTGCCCCTGCCTCCCCTGCCCCTGCCTCCCCCGCCCCTGGCCCTGCTTGTTCTACTTCTTCCTCCCTGGAATGGCAGAAGTCCAGTATATACTCTCTTCAGTCCAGCCATTGGCTGATGAGATTTTATCGAGAAGTTAGAGCATACATGGAGAACAATGTTTATCCAAACTTAGGAAGGGAGAATCTTAGATTAAGAAATGCTATGCCATGTCTGGATGGTACAAACATATAAGGCAGAGAAATCAGCATTAGAATAATATTGATAATATTTATACAATGTACAAAACCATTATGCCTGAAGATAAGCATAAAACTTTTTGTTTAGAATCCTTATTTAATGTTCTCAAGGAAAAGTCTTCCTAAGTCACCTAACTTTCATGACTTCCAAAACTAAACTCTATTAATTATATATATACATACACATATACAAACATAATTATATATACATATACAAACACACACAATATATATATATGCTGTTTAATCAGGTGTTTTCCAAGTTATACTACTATGTCATGTCATACTTTGTTTTTAACTAATCATAAAAATGTCTGTATTTGTTTACGGGGCTGAATTTTATTGTATAATGCCATTATGGGTTTTCTCAGTTGATATTATCCTTTCCTTATATGATTGATTTGATTTTCATTATTCCTTTGTTTCCCTGTTCTATATTGTCATCGTCTTCTTACTTCAGTGCAAGTTCACATGATTTTCACTTATTCTGTGCTTTAAATTAGACTTTATTGAATACAGGCATAGAGATTTGAATGTAGTTTATCATTTATATAGACAAATGCAAGTGTGAGTACATTTTTTAAAAGAAATAACCAGTGTAAATATACAGAATTTTGCTCCATTTCATTCATTTCTCAACCCTTACTCACCAGGAGAAAAATGTTATACCAGCAAAGAATGTGGGAAAGTTTTTGAGCAGGAAAAATTATTTGAAAATCACCACAGATATCATTTAAGAGTGAAAGCCTACAAGTGTGAAGTATGTGGCAAGTCCTTCCGTTTTCCATCACATCTTTCTAAACACAACAGAATTCATAAAGGAGAAAAACCCTACAAGTGTGATGTCTGTGGCAATGCCTTCCATTATTCTTCAAGCCTTTCCAAGCATATGAAAATTCATACAGGAGAGAAACCATACAAGTGTGAAGTATGTGGAAAGTCCTTCCATTTTCCATCATTACTTTCTAAACACAAGATAAGTCATACAGGAGATAAACCCTACAAGTGTGAAGTGTGTGGCAAGGCCTTCCATACTCCATCTTTATATTCTATACACAAGAAAATTCATACAAGAGAGAAACTCTACAAGTGTGAAGTATGTGGCAAGGCCTTCGATTTTCCTTCAAAACTTTCCATCCATAAGAAAATTCATACAGGAGAGAAACCCTATAAATGTGAAGTATGTGGCAAGGACTTCTATTACCCATCAAGACTTTCCAATCATAAGAAAACTCATACAGGAGAGAAACCATACAAGTGTGAAGAATGTGGGAAAGCCTTCTGTTTTTCATCATCACTATCTAAACACAAGAGAATTCACACAGGAGAGAAACCATACACATGTAAAGACTGTGGGAAGGCCTTCCACTCTCTCTCATCACTTTCTAAACACAAGAGAATTCATACTGGAGAAAAACCCTACAAGTGTGAAGTATGTAACAAGGCCTTCCATTATCCATCCTTACTTTCTAAACACAAGACAATCCATACAGGACAGGAACCCTACAAGTGTGAAGTATGTGACAAGGTCTTCAATTATCCATCAAAGCTTTACAAACATAAGAGCATTCACACAGGAGTGAAACCCTAAAATTGTGATCTATCTATCAGTGAATTCCTTTAGAACTTTCTGGCTTTTCTTCTACTCATTTGATAACTCATTCTGGGAAGAAACCATAAAAAAGGGAGGAATGTGGCAAACCTTCTTCTACAAAGTCATACCTATATCTACACAAATGAACTCAAAATGTAGAGCATATTTACAAATGAAAAGAATATGTCAAAATAATCATCATATACTTCATTCTGGAGAGAAACTTTACAAGTGTAAAAAATGTGGCAAATACTTTTGAAGTCTTATAGCATGGTCTGAACACAGAATAATTTCTATTGGACTTTGTCACTACACATGTGAAGAATGTGGCAAACACTATTATTTCCAGTCTTCTGGTCTTAAGCAACATCAAAGAATTTACCTATGAGAGAAAGGAGACAAGTTTGAAGAATGTGCTAAGGTCTCTTGGACTCACTGAAAACTTGGGAAAAAACTCTTAATTCATACTAGACTGAAATGCCATGAGTGTGAAAAATATTGCAAACCATTTAATAAGCCTTCTTATATTTTTAAAAACAAGATAGTTCAAATTGGTGAGAAATAGAACAAATGTTAAAATGTTCATAAAATCTTAACACTTCTTCAGACCCTAAAAGCTATCAACAGCTTCCTGACCAGCTGCTTTAAACTTCTGTTGTATTAACATTTTCACCATGTCTTGTAGTTGGAATAACAATTGCCTTGAGTGCTCTGGAAAAGGATTAATAAGTGTGGCATCACTGGAGTAAGTGTGTCACTGGGGGTCGTATTTGAGGTTTCAAAAACACAGACCCAGTGTCTCCCTCTTCATTACAGACTATGGGTCAATATGTACAATTTTCAGCTACTTCTCCAGCACCATGTCTGTCTGCATTCCACCATGCTTCTTAGCTAGTTACCCACAATACTAATGGACAAACCTCTGAAACTGTAAACAAGCTCCACTTAAATGTTCTCTTCTATAGGAGTTGTCCTTGTTTGGTGTCTCTTTGTAGCAATAGAACACTGAGTAATGACCCATGGTAGAGGATGAGTTTGAGCTGTGGCCCAAATTAAACCCTTTAAGTTGCTCTTGTGTGCATGTTTTACCACTGCCATGAGAACACTTACTAAACCTTCATCCCAAATGCAGCTTTCAGTCTAACATTTTATTCATATGAATCACGTACTTTCTCCCTTTCCCACTATTGCCCTCCCTTTTGCCCCCTTCTCCAAAAAGTGTTTCCTCTCCTCTTTACTGACATTACACACACACACACACACATACACACACACACACACACACACACACACAATTATTCCATGTATTTTTAAAGACTAACACATATTTCCCGGGGTGTACTGCACTCAGCCCACCCTGCTCCCCATGCTTGCTTCCCTTTTTTTGTATTTGAATTTGCTCTGGGAAGTGGGGCACACTACCAGTCCCCACCAGAGACCCTTGATTCCACAGATAAAGGACACACATACACACACACACAGTTTGTTACTTTTACAAGTCTCCTTTTAGGCACAATTGCTAGGTACAGATATCTCTCACCTGGAAAAGCATGTCCTTACCAATTTCTTTTTTTTTTTTTTTTTTTTTTTCCCCCGGTTTTTCGAGACAGGGTTTCTCTGTGTAGCACTGGCTGTCCTGGAACTCACTCGGTAGACCAGGCTGGCCTCGAACTCAGAAATCCACCTGTCTCTGCCTCCCAAGTGCTGGGATTAAAGGCGTGCGCCACCACCGCCCGGCCCTTACCAATTTCTTATCTCCATTTCTCCACTCTTCAGTAGCTAGTCCCTCCTAGCCCCTGCCAAACATTTTTGGCCACCTGGCCTGTAGCAGAGGCAACAGGCCTCAGCTCCCCACCCAACCCCTGAGATCTCACATGGTTGTAGCATTCTTTGTCCCGTTAAAGTATGGCAGAAAAGACTACTCTCCTTCTTGACATTTGACTTTTCCTCCCATGACATGAAGGCCCTGCTAGTACATTCTGCCCAGCAATTGGCCCTCAGCCTTCTTTACTGACAAATCAAGAACCAATTGGGGAACAGGACTTTAACATCAGAACCTCCCCTTATACATATCTACATGAACAAACACAGATGTAGTATCAGTATAACCTTTTGTAGTATGAATGTTTTTCTTTTGCAAAATGTAGATACCACACATGTGATTTCTCTGTATATTTGTTTTTGATATTAATCACTTCCTTGCATTTTCAACGTTAAATTACACAGACATTAGCTTATATTTAAAATGCTTTGGCTACCTGAAAAGTTGGGCACTCCCAATCTTTCCCCTGTTACCCCAGTTCCAATCCTTTTACCCCAGTTCCAATCAGGGAAGTGGCCAGTGGCCACTTACCTGAAATCTCACATGGCTGGTTGGCTGTATCTCCTGCTGCTTCTGTGTCCCATGCTTCTTCCCTAAGTCCTGGCAATCCTCTGCCTTCTCCCCCATGCATCCTAGCCTGCACAACTCTTAAAGTCCCTTGCTCAATCAAAGACCAAACGGGGACAAGGACCTTTAGCATTTGGACACAAAGATAAATCATTGAATCAAAGCATTAGAACCAATCTCTAATATGGCAGCACCATGGACTGACCACCAAAACTTAAGTACAAATGAAGTCAGCCAGAGCATAAAGGGCTACAGAGCACAGAGTTAGAGCACTGAACCAAGTTCTTTGGAGGATCCCGGATTGTGGATTCCAGATGTTGGAGACTTTGAACTTTGATTTTAAATGTTGTTGAGACTGTGATAGACTATGGGGACTTTTGAAGTTCAATTAACTGAATTCTGCATTATGTTATGGATATTTAAGCCTATGGGGCGCAGGGACTAGAATGTGATAGTCTGTGAAGGTTTTTCCCACATAAACTTATGTGTTTGAATGCTTGGCCCATACAGAGTTTCACTAGTAAGAAGTACAGCCTTATTGGAGTCGGTGTGGAATTTTAAGGAAGTGTGTCACTGTGGAGGCAGGCTTCTAGGTCACATATGTAAGCTCAAGTCCCACCCCATCTCCCCAAGTGGGAGACAGGTTCCTTCTGGCTGCCTTTGGATCAAGATGTAGCACTCTCAGCTCCTTCTAAAGCACCATATTTACACGCACGCTGCCATGCTTCCCACCATGATGATAATGGACTAAACAGCTGGAAATGTCAAGCCAGTCAAAATGAAATGTTTTCCTTCATAAGATTTGCCTTGGTCATGGTGTCTCTTCACAGAATAAAACCCTAATGAAAACATACAGGTTTGCAAAAGCCCCTTGTCCCCTTACAGGTATATCTTCCCTTCTCCAGCATCTGAACACTTCTTGAGTGCAATTTACAATTTACCAGACAGATTGCCAAACTGAGAGTGCACGTGTATTTGCTGACTTGATGGAAGGTATCACTATCTGGTTAGTGGGAACTGTGACTAAGAAGGACCTTTATCGGATTAGCCTTTAGACAAGTCAGTGAAGGAGAACAAAGTTTAGTGATTATTTGTGGAGGCCTCAGACCAGTGTTGGGTTTTACATCACCGGGAAAGTGAACCTTGCTTGTTTAGCGAGGAAACTGATATATCCCCCGATGAGCTGGAGGAAGGGGTAGAGCCTGAAACAGGTCTGAGTGCTTTATCAGAACAAGAAAGAAGCCAAAGATTCTTGAAGTGAAAGGAATATGTTTTTGTTTTCCCAAGGACATCATTTCCAAGATGCTTTTATTGTAAAAGAAAACTAACCCTGATTACAACAGAATGTGTCTTATTTATTGACATCTGTTATCCAACAAATCTGAGATGGCTCTTTTGATTTTGAAGCTGAATCATGTTTTTTTCACCTTTGTTTTGTTTTTTTGAGCTAGGGTGCTCTCAGAATCCCGTCTGCATGAACATTCATGTTCGTGTTTTCTAGGGAGTAACCCCAGGGATATCTGCATGCAAAGTGCATGAAGATGAGTTTAAGACAAGATAAAAGTAACCACCACAGAGGTGTGAGGATAGATAAAAGACACATGCTCAGGAAAGTAAGGAGAAAATGCTTATTCCTGACTGGCTTACAAATAAACACAAGTCAGATAGGATTATTTCATTTTGCTTTGGCAATTACTGGGGGGCAACCCCTAATCTACTCTTCTAATTGCTGTCCTGGCTACCTTCCTGGTGGTGTACCCCAGATACTTGCTGCTTCTCATGGCCACACGTTCATGGTCCATCTTCCCCATGGCATCTTTGTCCTCTTTCCCCATTTCTCCTCCTTTTCCTGGTCTCTC